AATATCTGTGGTGGTTGGTATCTGGTTCGCCGAGGGGGCGAATTTTGGTGGACCTGGAGCACGCAGAGGTGTCACGTATGATCCGAGCGGATTACTCGGAGCAGGGATCGACAAAAAGTCGAACTGTGTCCATGGAGGTGGACTCGCAGCGGATCGAGCTACGGCTTGACGCCTTTCCTGTCTTTCTAATTTGATCTCCTGATCTCTTTGTCGATCGATCAGACGCGTGAGCATTTGGAGTATCTCCGCCGACTCCGACGTGCTCTTAAAAGCTACGGGTATCGGCGGGGAAACAGGAGCTGCTCGTCTCTGTGATGCCGAAGCTGTAGGTGGATTCTCAGATCGCACCCAGATTCGAGAGGGAGGCCTCTTGGCTGTTTATGACTGGTTACTCGTCGTACCCGGTGGGGTGACGAGGTTGATCATGATCGGTTCCACACGGCTGGAAACGTTAGAGTTCGTGTCGGTGGTGTCGACGAGGGTCGTAACCCTGGGTTCGTTTCTGCTGGCTGTCTGGCTGACGTTGCCGGTCAGAGTAACTTAATCTGGAGAAATCGAAATCGGTGAGATGTTTCCCGAGGTTTGTTGAGTTGAATTCATTTTGGTTTTAGCTGGCTTAGGATCTGCTCTTGAGTAAGAGAAATCTATAGATCTTCCCCACAGACGGCGCCAAAATGTGGATACAAAAATCCACACCCATAAATTTATGTGTTTTTGTAAGGAAATAACTTTAGAGGATTAAGGGCTAGATTCCCTCGAACAGATTGACTGTATAAGCTAGCACTAACTGAAATAATGACTTAGTATTAATCGGTTGAATGAAACGGTTACAAGGATTTTAATGAAGAAGGTGAACTGAAGGAGCTCTGGGAGCAGTTACAGAGTTTTCAGGTGTAAAAAGTGGGTAAAAAGATCAAGTCGAAGGTCCTCGAACTAAGCCGTTCTCCTCCTTTATATAGCTCGCCTCATCGAGCTTCGAACTCCAGCGCGTATCTTGGCCAAGTGCAGCAGCTTCAGCCGGAAATCTCGCCACGTGCAGCAACCTCCTCCGCGATCTTCGAACTTGTTTGAACTGGTGAGAAAATGTTCTGACTTGGCTCAGATCCTTCCTTGTTTCTCTGGATTTGGTCGAGCTGGAGCTCGACCTCACCGAACAGATCGTCTTGCTGCTCAGGATTGGATCGTTGAGAGGTGAATAGGCCTGGGCCGTAAGGTTGAAGCCCAGTCATTTTGGCTTAGTTTAGACATGCCGTTGGGCTTGAGTGGACCGGATTTGGGGTGCCAAATCCAGCTCCAACAAAGGCCCGATTGCATTAAACAAAAGCCCTTTTGGGCACGGATAAGTTCAAAAATAAAAGGATTAAAGCCCTCCCAGGCACAAGAACCAGCGTAAAAGCCCCGTCGGGCAACCATGTTCGAAAAATAAATTTAAAAAGAGGAAGGGAAAGAGAAAGGAGCCATGGTCAACCGTCGAGCTAACCACCCGCCTTCTCGTCATCGTCCTCCCTCCTCGCTTCATTACTGCCTCCTTCCTCCACAGTGGTACCTAATTGATTAAGACCAACAGGCGTGCCTGAAACCGGGTCAACATCCATAGCTACCGAGTCTTTGGAGATCACGGGGAGATTCAGCCTGCTGATCGAGAAGTCTGATACCTGGGCGGCCCTAAAAACCGCTCCCAAGTCCTCCTCGTCCTTCTTCACCCTCTCGAGCTCCTCTTCGACAGTGGTAGTCTTGGCAATAACCTGCTCGAGCATCTCCTTTTTGGCGATGCACTCTTGAAGATCGCACTCGGCTACGCCCTCAAACTTCTTCCTTTCCCATTTCAGCTTGAAGCCCTCGATCACCTCCATGAACTGCTGGGACATCTCCTTCCGGGCCTCATGGCTAGCTTGGCGGATTGCACCCTCGCGCTCGCAGATCAAACAGAGATTCTCCTCCCTCGCATCCGCGGCCTCATGGTGAGCTCGCACGGCTTCAACTTGAGCCTCGAAGATCTGATTGGTGGCAACCTTGAACTTCTCGCCCTTGTCAACCAGCTCGTTCTCGAGGTCGGTGATGTGAGCCTGCTGGCCTTTGAACTGCTTAAAGAGTTTAGTCTGGCGACCGAGCTGCGCATTCGCGGCCTCAAGGTTGGACTTCAGCTTGCCGACTACCTCCCCCATCTCCTTGATCTCCTCCGCACGAGGGACATGCCTTTGCTCGAGGCGAGCATAGAGCCGGTTTCCAGCCTCCGCAGCCTGCGAGCATCAAGGACCAAAGTGTTAAGACAAACAACACTTAACCAAAAAATGCAAAGTAAAGGTACACCGTTTACCTTTCCCTGGGCCGTCGCCATCTCCAGATAGATCTCTCTCTTAGTTATTTTCTTGAGAGCCGGAAGTTGGCACCCAGCAGGCTTGAAATGATGCCACATGGCCGCCATGCCCTCAGAATCATCTGTGATCGGATGATCCTTGGTGTGCTCGAACTTCCAGTGGAAAGGCCGACTACCCGTCGAGCCACCACTCCCGTTGGACGCCGATGGGTGCGGCTCAGCAGCATGACCTCCCCCGTCGTCTCTCGGCCTCTTGGAGGCAGGCTGGGAAGAGTGCTCGGGCTCCTGAACACCAGTAAGCTGGTGGGTCTTGCCCGAGCTCACGGAGATCGCCCCCACCAACCGGGGAGGGGGATCGGGCTGAGGGTTCATCATTTGCTCGACCTCCTCATCACGGAGGTGAGGTGTGGAAGCAGCAGCTGAGGCGAGCGCTGCCTCGAGGGCCTCCTTGACACTCCCGGAGCAAACCCTGGAGCTGCTGGGGCAGACGGTGCTCGATGTCGGGATCTTTCGGTGCTCTGGATAGCTGACCTGATAAACAAAAAACAAACGAATAGTCAGAAAACCGATCGATCAATACAAACCGAGTATAGCTAGCAAACGCCTCAGCCTAGCTAAACAACCGTTGCCCACGAACTCAGCCGGCAGCCGGGAGAAGTCGAAGCTCCCGACGGATGCTTCATTAACCCGGAATTTGAACCCGGTCTTCTCCCAACCGGAGTCCTTCTCTGGACTCTCCTCAATAAACCGCTGGTTCGACCTCCGAGACGCATAGAAAGTCCCGGGACGGCGGGCGTTGTATTTGACGGAGAAAAACGCTCTCAAGTCCAAGTAGCGAAAGATGATGCTCTCCTCTTTGGCCCGTACGACACATCCGATGATGGCCCGAACCAAGTTCAGACACATCTGCGGGAAAGCCAGCCGCAGGTCCGCCAACACCTCGAGGACGAACCGAGGGATCGGGAAGAACAGCCCGCAATCCCAGAAGTATGTTGCATACGTGCAGCAAAAGCCCGGCTCCACACTCGTCGGAGTCTCCGCTGACGTCAAAACCGCCAGCTCCACCCCGTCGGGGATCTTGCACTCCCGATGGAAGTCGTCGAGAGTCTTCTGGTCGTGTATTTTGGAAGGACCCGGAACTGCAACGGGCCTCCCGGAGTTCTCCCGCTCGATTTTTACGATCGCCGACATCAGAAAAAGAAGAGAGGAAAATGAGATAGACGCGAAACCCAGAAAACTCGAGAAACAAAAAATGAAAGTTCTTTCGGAAAGCAAGAGAAAACTTAGCAGGCGATTTCTAAGAGAGAAGGCGACGAACGGAAGTTGCAAAAAATAAAAAGAGAAAGAGAGAAGGAGTTACTTTTAATCTACGAACTGATGCAGTTAAAGAAGAAGTGGGAGGGTAGACTTTATATCTAAGTAATAATTGCCTACCTCGAGGATCGCGGAGAATCTGGCCACGAGCCGATCTCGACCGTTCGATCTCTCGATCTCAACTGTCGAATATTCGACCTCGAGGATACGACGCGCAGAAGCCCTTGCGATCAAGGCTGTTAGATCGACTCTCTCTCTCCCCATCTGGACCTTCCACGTGGCCAAATCTCAGCACGAATCTTCTCGAGAGATACACCTTGCCCCGGGAAGCTCGACCGCCGAAACAGAAAAGTAAATGATAATATTTACTTCAAATCTCGACCGTCCACTTGGACGAGTTAATGACAGTTTCACCTCAACACGCCAAGTTATGGTTTCGAGGTTAATCCTCGACCACACGATCGACGGACTGTTCACCTTTCCAGAATCTGAAACGTCGATCTCGAATGATTATCTGACTCCATGACGTCAGCATAATCAGACACAAGATCTTTCAAAAGTCCCATCTTGCCGCCCATTAAAGCTCGAGCTCGCTCTCGTTAATGGGCTGGGGGGTAATTGTTGGAGCTGGATTTGGCACCCCGAATCCGGCCCACTCAAGCCCAACGGACAGGTCCAAACTAAGCTAAAATGACTGGGCTTCAACCTTACGGCCCAGGCCCATTCACCTCTCAACGATCCAATCCTGAGCAGCAAGACAATCCGTTCAACGAGGTCGAGCTCCAACTCGACCAAATCCCGAGAAACAAGAAAGGATCCGAGCAAAGTCAAAGCATATTCTCGCCAGTTCAAACAAGTCCGAAGATCGCGTGGCCGAGATACGCGCTAGAGTTCAAAGCTCGATGATGCGAGCTATATAAAAGAGGAGAACGACTTAGTTCGAGGACCTTCGACTTGATCTTTTTACACACTTTTTACACCTGAAAACTCTATAACTGCTTCCAGAGCTCCTTCAGTTCATCTTCTTCATTAAAATCCTTGTAACCGTTTCATTCAACCGATTAATACTAAATCTTTATTTCAGTTAGTGCTAGCTTATATAGTCAATCGCGAATCTAGCCATTAATTCTCTAAAATTATTTTCTTACAAAAACACATAAATTTCTGAGTGTGGATTTCTGTATCCACAATAAAAAATATATTTTATTATATTTATAGTGATATCGTAAATAATATAATAAAATATAATAATATAAAATTGATCTGATGTGTTGAATTTTAATTGGATAGGTTATGTCATACGTTCTCATTAAAGATACATTTACCTCTATAAAGATCACTTTCCCTTTTAAGATATAAAGAAGAAAGACTTCGTATAAACCCAAACTTAAACCGAACCAGAATACACATGAACGAGAACGCGGTTTGTCCGAACCGGATCATAGTCAAGTGCCCCAGGTTCGATACGATGCTCCGTTGCGAGTATTAAACGCCATATTTAATCAAAGGCCCCATAGCTTCTTCTCCTCCTCACTCAGATACTCATACAAACTCGAATCTTCTCATACTTCCAGGTTTGTAATCTCTTTTGCATTTTGATGTTTGGTGATAATCGAATCGCAATTGCAATATACCCCCATTGATCTCTCTTAAACCCTATTCTTCTCAATCCGAATTCCTCAGATCTGATATTTGTCTTTTATGTATTATACAGATCCGACGATTCTCTGATTTTCTGGTAATTTTATTTCTTAGTTGGTTTCTGATCTCTCCTTTTGTATCACTGATCGTCTTTTGAATTCGATTGTCTCTTCATCGTTTGTTCGTTCGTCGCATTTGCTGATGATGATGATGATGATGATGATGATGATGATGATGAAAATGATCATGCTCATGATTTCGATTTTGTAGATTTGGAGAAAGGCTTTTCGTTGAGGAGGTTTTGGAATTTTGATCTAATTCAAGCATGGCTGCTCCAGTGCCTCCAGGAGCAAATAGACCAAACAATCCACAAAACTCAGCATCTCCGAATTTCGTCCCTGGCTCACAAGGAAACCCCACTTCTCTAGCTACTAATATGCAAAACCTGAACATTAACCGGCCGCCTCCTCCAATGCCCGGTTTAGGTCCTAGACCATCTCCACCTTTTGGTCAATCACCACCACAACCTTTTCCTCAGTCCGCTCCTTCCTACGGTGTTCAACAACAAGCTAGACCTTCTCCAATGGCTAGGCCTGGACCTCCTCCTCCTCCAATGACTAGACCAGGTGGACCACCTCAGGTTTCGCAACCCGGCGGGGTTCCGTTAGGAAGACCCAATGGTCCACCTTTTGGTCAGTCATCTTTTGGCACTAGACCAGCGTCTGGGCCAATGCCTGGTGGCGGGTCGTTTCAGCAGCCTCCTGGTGGTTTCACAGCTGCTTCGGGTCCACCAGGTGGTGCAGCTGCGGCTCCTCCTCCTTCGGGATCACGTCCGGTTGGATTTGGTTCGCCTCCAACTATGGGACCTGGCATGTCCATGCCTCCCTCTGGTGGTCTGGTGACTAATGGGCCTCCGATGATGGGTCAACCACAACCTTATGGACAGTTCTCTAGCGGTGCTATGATGGCTCCACCGCAACCTTATGGACAGCCTCCCAATGCACCTCCTTTTTCGGGAGGTTCACCGTTAACTTCGCCTCCTGCTCGTTCGATGCCTCCGCCAACTAATTTCCCTGGTGCACCTTATGGCAGGCCAGGAGGCTTTCCTTATGGAGCACCACCACCACAACAGGTATATCCACTGAAGCTCATTTTTATCAATAATTGTAGACTAGACTTAGGAATTTATTAACCATGCAATGTCTTTATCATGATGAAAGTTAAACCTGGTCTGCATGTAAATGTGGAACTTTAAAGAAGGGGGCAATATTAAATTGTGTATCGTTCTGATATTGATATTTAAAAACCGTAGTGTTGGCATTGACAGACTCTGCCTAGTGATAAAATAGGGAACAGTTTGTGTAGTATCTTTAGATTTTTTGCTTTTCTTCTGTTTGTGTAGTATCGTTCTGATATTTATAATGTATTTCCTTTGTGTGACACATTATGATTGCTTTGAAATGTGAAAATTGGTAGCCCCATTCTGCTCCTGGTACTCCTGGTTCAGTGTATGGCATGGGTCCAGTGCCAAATCAGTCAATGACCACTGTTTCTAGCCCCTCGAAGATTGATCTTACTCAGATCCCAAGGCCAGGTTCAAGCTCCAGTCCAATCGTGTTTGATACTCGCCAGGGGAATCAGGCTAATCCTCCACCTGTATGTCTTATAATATTAATTTTGTTAATTGCGGTTTGATCTTAAGTGACATTGACAAAAATTATATTTATTTCCCATTAATCTCTTTTTCTTTTTCCTTGTTTGAAGCCTACTACTGTCGATTATATTGCTAGAGACACTGGAAATTGCAGCCCGCGTTACATGCGAAGCACAATTCATCAGGTAACTATGAAGCGAATTATCTTGAGCTAAACGCAACTTTTTGTGATTTAAAAAATTGATTTACTGTGTCCCTTGACCCTGGATCTTGATACCTTCGTTCTCTGTTTCCACAATAGATCCCATGTACTGTTGATCTTCTCTCTACATCTGGTATGCAACTGGCGTTAATAGTCCAACCCATGGCGCTTTCTCATCCATCTGAAGAGCCTATCCAAGTAACATTAATCTCCTCCCATACTGCCTTTTTTATCACTTAGAAGCATTTTGGCGTATATTTTGCTGTTTCTCTTGTCTTATTGATCAGTCCTTACTTTTTAAAGGAAGAAAACATAAATTAATGCTTCTTTAAAAATTTTAAAGAAAAATTTAACTCATGTTGGCATGAACCTATGTTATTGAGCAGGTGGTGGACTTTGGTGAGAGTGGCCCTGTTCGATGTTCACGTTGTAAAGGATACATTAATCCTTTCATGAAGTTCACTGATCATGGAAGGAAGTTCACTTGTAACTTGTGTGGTAAGTATTGCTGTTTCCCTATATAAAAGCCATAGATAATAAGTTACTGCTGTGTCAACTGCAATAGTGAGTAAAAATATTACCTTACCGAATTGAAAGAAATGATATGTGAATTTAGATATTCACCTCGAAAATCTGGTCGGGGAAGATGCTACTATGGTCTTAAGGGAATTGACTCCCTATGAATTGTTATCATGTTAATCATGTAGGAAATCATGTGGAATGTTTTTGTGATCCATTCTCTCTTTGCACAGGATACACTGATGACACTCCTCGTGACTACCAGTGTAATCTGGGTCCAGATGGCAGACGCAGGGATGCTGATGAAAGGCCTGAGCTGTGTAGGGGAACCGTTGACTTTGTTGCTACAAAAGAATATATGGTTAGTTTGTGAAAATTTTCGGATTATCTTGCCAATATTTTGTGATACATCCATTGCAACCAGATTGAGATAACTATCAATATCTATTTTACAGGTACGAGATCCAATGCCAACAGTGTATTTCTTCCTCATTGATGTCTCAATGAATGCGATTCAAACCGGTGCAACTGCAGCTGCTTGCAGTGGAATCCAGCAAGTCCTCTCAGACCTTCCTGTGAGTTTTCTCGCTCTTTCCAATGATATACATTTTCTGCTTTGGGTTGAATATCTATTTGTTTCTGTAGGCTGTACGCTGGACTACTGTTGGGTAGTAGCCATGAAATTAAGTAAATGTCCTTAAAAAAAGTTATAGGAGTCCTCAGTGATAGTGTCTATTTGCTTTCTATTTTATCACACCCTCTAGTTTACCAAGTCCTTCCTTCCCTAAATCAGTTAGGTTTGAAGTCTCAAAATACTCAATATCCTGAATCACCAGATGCATCTTCTATTTATACTCAATGACTAACTGGCTGATGTGGGATAGTTCTTCTTCTTTTATTTTGGTTAATGATGTGGAATAGTTGATGAACTCTTACCAGAACCGAAACCTATTTGTAGGCATTGGCTAACTTCTGATGTGGCATACTTGATGAAATCTTGTACCACGGGATAAATGAGCTGGGAAAATAGGCTAGGCTATGGTCACTAGAGTAATGAATTTGAATGGAAATGGGTTGTGTAATCGTTTTATGTTTTTAACAAAGTCTTGTATGCATTTTACAGGAAGGTCTTAGGACGTTTGTTGGAATCGCCACATTTGACTCAACAATACACTTTTATAATTTGAAGCGTGCACTGCAACAGGTGATCTGTTACGTTAGTTATTTGTGTTTCTTTTGCCAAACTATTTAAAAAGGGGGAAAGTGGAGTAATCTTATCCTGCCGAGACCTTTCTGCCTTTGGTATCTTAGATTTGAAGGTTTTATCTTGCTGCAATGAATTCTTCTGTTTTACTTGGCTAAATAAATTTAAAACTTTTTAGTTTTCTTCACTTAAAAGCCACTCTTCAGTGCAATTGGCATGAAAGATAACCTATATATTTTCAATTTGAAACAAATTCATTCAGTTTTGAAAATGGTTTCGTTGTTGCTGTAATTTTCGAGAATGTGTCCTCTATTTTTCGTGTTAGAGTTTATTTTTTGCTGGCTCTGTTGTGATTTTGATTGTCCTGCTTATGTGCAGCCATTGATGCTCATTGTTCCTGATGTTCAAGATGTTTATACACCTTTAGAAACAGATGTCATTGTTCAGCTATCTGAGGTGAGCTCTTGGCCACTTGGTTTTGTTCTGTACTGAGATTGGTTATCCAAATTTCTGTCTTATTCTCTCTATTAATTACTTTATTCTGTTGGAATTCAGTGCCGTCAACACCTAGAGATTTTGCTGGAAAGTATCCCAACAATGTTTCAGGAAAGTAAGAGTCCCGAATCTGCTTTTGGTGCAGCTGTTAAGGTATGTGATTGCCAAATGTAAATGCGTTAGTAGAAGTTGGATACAGTTAGGTGGTATGCACAGTTTTACGTACAAAAGCTGGGTGAATCATTTTGGAAAAACAGTTAAGGAAATCAGTTGGTTATGTTAGTGAATTGGACTATGGGATGTAGCAAAGCTCAGGTTAGGTCTATTGCTCCCCTTATGCTATTGACTCATGTATCTACAACTTTTTTCCTCCTAGGCCGCATTCTTAGCAATGAAGAGCACTGGAGGAAAGCTCTTGGTATTTCAATCAGGTGTGCTGCTAATTCTGTTTGGTCCCTTAGACTAATGGTTTTGTTTCCAGTCACTTGTAATCAATCCATACATCTTGAATCACATGAAATATGTTTCTTTTAAGTACCAGTTCATTCTTCTTTTTTAGTACCATGTATAACATAAATGATATGATTACCAAACTCCTCCATAGTTTTGCCTTCTGTTGGCATTGGAGCACTTTCTTCTAGAGAGGCCGATGGGAGAGCTAATGCCTCTGCGGATGAAAAGGTACATATGCTTTTTGTTTATAAAAGTCTAGAAGTAATAGTTTTCTTTGAAATGCTTGTTTTTGTCTAAAAACTTGAATGGCATCTGTTCCTGAGATTGCTGTGTGTCATCATTGAAAGTAATTTCTCTTTAATATGATTCCAGGAAGCCCATAAATTACTACAACCCGCGGACAAAACTTTAAGGACCATGGCAATTGAATTTGCTGAATACCAGGTACACCAATAGATCTGATGTGTGAATTTAATTCCATCTGCTTATCAGTCATTTACTGCATAGCACTTTATCTTTGTTGCTATATATGTACCTATCTAATGCATTCGGACATGCCTCAGGTCTGTGTGGATTTATTTATCACAAGTCAGGCTTATGTTGACATGGCTTCAATTTCCGACATCCCAAGAACTACTGGAGGACAGGTAGATTCAAATATTATTTATCCTTTCAGTTTATCACATATACTTACAGTTGTAAATGACATGTACTTATTTGCATTAATGATAATATAACTTTCATAATTCAATTTTAAAAAAGATGTTATATGAAAGAATGTTGTTTTACCGTGACACATGGATCACCCCTCTCCTAAAACTCATGTGAAAGTTTTTCTTACTTGATACGTTTTCCCTGGTCGTCCTGTTTCTAATGGATTTTGAGCTCGTTGTTTTGACTTTCTTTGAATATAACTTTCCATTATATTTGTTTCCAGGTTTATTGCTATTACCCTTTCTCAGCTCTTTCAGATCCTCCCAAGCTATACAACGATCTTAGATGGAATATCACTAGGCCTCAGGGTTTTGAGGCTGTCATGCGAGTCAGATGCAGTCAGGTATATTCTGTGGCAGAGAGCTCTGTCCATGTATTACTCTGGACACTTTAGCTTCAGGTTTATATTGATGAATACCACTCTTGCCAATTATTGCAGGGTATTCAAGTGCAAGAATACTCAGGGAACTTCTGTAAACGCATTCCAACTGACATCGATCTACCTGCGGTGGGTGCATTCTTCTTAAAATTTACGATTAGTTGTCTTCAATAGCATTGTGTGTATCTGTTTATTTCGTGTCAATATCAAGATTGAATTTTTCTCTGTGCCGTGATTTTGTGACTACAGAATATTCCTGTTGCTTTGTTGTCCAAAAAGTATAATACTAGTCAAGATTTTTTTGGTTTTATATAAGTATGTCTGGTGAAGCACTTTGCTATAAATTAGTTTCTTTTTGACGAACCATGAGTGCCATGCAGATTGACTGTGACAAAGCTGTATTGGTGACACTAAAGCATGATGACAAACTACAAGATGGAGCTGAATGTGCCTTTCAGGTTTACTTTTGTACTCATGTTAATTGTCCATTCACAATAGTTTTCACATGACCTTACTTCGCCGGTACACCGTCTCATTTCATAAAATGTTAAGATTTCTTTATGATTTTCAGTGTGCCCTTCTGTATACAACGATATCTGGCGAAAGAAGAATTAGGGTTATTAACTTATCACTCCCATGCACAAGCATGCTCAGTAACTTGTTCCGCTCAGCTGACTTAGATTCTCTATTTGCTTGTATGTTGAAACAAGGTAGGCGTCTTTATTTCTGCTCTGATTCTGCAGCTAATAATGTTGTTATCATTACGTAAATATATTTATGAATGGGTTCCTGTAACGATAACACAATTCTTTGTTGACATAGTTTACTTGTGTTACTTATGTAGCGGCGAATGAGATCACTTCCAAGGCACTTCCATTGGTAAAGGAGCAAGCAATTAATAGTTGCATCAGCACACTCCATTCCTATCGTAAATTCTGCGCTACGGTTGTAGCAACTGGACAACTTATTCTTCCTGAAGCACTCAAGCTTTTGCCGCTATATACTCTTGGTACGTCACTGCCACTTTTAGTCCAGTTGAAACAAAACAAATTCACCAATTTAGGTTGGTTTGATCCTTCAAACTACTTTGGGATATGGAAATACAATAAAAAGTTGCATAAAAAGCGTTTAGAGACGGCTGTATAGCTTTTCATGTGAGACGGATTTTTAGACATTGTAACATTCTTGATACTGATCATATGCGAGACGAGAGCAAGTTAGACATTATGTTTTCCATTAAGATCTATGTAGTCTTTTATTTCGTGAATTACTGGTTCTATTCTTGCTTTGTATTTTGTTTTGTCTCGTTGTCATTTGCTGATTGCTGAATGCAGCATATAGCGTTGCAGAGCAGAACTTATGATCTCGTTATTTTTCTTTTCAGCCTTAACCAAAGGTGTTGGGTTACGGCCGGATGGGAGAATCGATGACCGATCATTTTGGATAAACCATGTGTCTTCATTGTCTACTCCTTTGGCAATCCCGCTAGCTTATCCAAGGATGATCGCTGTTCATGACCTTGACGAAAAGGTATGGAGCTACATTTTCTAACTCATGCGTCGTTACGCCTTAATATGCGCTCTTTTCCGAAAGTTCTGACGATTGTTTATTAATCTATCAGGATAATGAAGAAACTGTGGTTCCCTCTGCAATCCCATTGTCAAGTGAACAGCTTAGTGACGAGGGAGTCTATTTTCTTGAGAATGGTAACGATGGTTTGATATATGTCGGGGACTCTGTAAATTCAGAGATCCTGCAGAAGCTCTTTGGTGTTCCCTCAGCTGCTGACATTCCAAGTCAGGTAAACTAATCATCATCATCACATCACATTTTATATTCTGTAGGATCTGACTGTTACTTGCTCATCCCATGTCACACGCTCGAAAATTATTTTTTCAATCATATTTGATATTAACATGATATGCTATGTTTTTCCTTCACAGTATGTGCTGCAGAGGTATGATAATCAGCTATCAAAGAAGTTCAATGAAGTGGTGAATGAAATAAGGAGGCAAAGAAGTTCTTACCTACGGTATCAAACAAAAGTCTTAATATCTATCTTCTTTTTTTCTCCTCGAGTAATCTCCGTTCTAACGAATCTCTTCATGTTCTCTCTTTGCAGCATTAAATTGTGCAAGAAGGGAGATCAAACAGGTGAGTTAGCTTTCAAAGTTGCTCTTATTAATGCTTGTTGCACATTTTCTGTCAGCAGAGATTAATCAGTTTTTGCACTCTGTTTTTTTTTTGCTCAGGAATGTTATTCCTTTCGTATATGGTAGAGGACAGGACACCGGGTGGGCCATCGTACGTGGAGTTTCTTGTTCAAGTTCACCGTCAAATCCAACTCAAATTGAACTGAGAGGTCTCTCTTGTCTCCTCTGTTTCATGTCTTCAGAATCTTTAGATTAGAAAGAGCAAAGCAGCAGAGAAAAAAAAAGAGAAAGGAAAGACGAAGACTCTTCTTCCTTTGTACATACTTTTGGCTGGAGACTTTAAAAATTATTCTTCAAGTTCTTGTGTGCTTGATGTAGAGAGAGGTAACAAGAGGGAGAGGAGAGGCAGAGAGCTTGACAATCTTTTTTTGTACTTTGCTTATTTTATACAGGAACAGTCTTTTTGTAGTGGTACTTAGAGAAAGATTTTTCAATATTTACGACAGTATTTTCCGCATCTTTCTCTTGTGTTTTCTTCTATTTTGCAATCTGTTCTGTTGCTTCAGCTCGAAATAACAAAACTATATTGTTGACTGAAACAACTGAGACATTTGTCCGTTTCAACCCGAGGCGGACCAGTTCATTTTGTTTCACATATAAAAATTTAGCGATTTATCTTATTCTGTTGGCATAATTTTATTAGTCCAAATCTTCTTCTAAATGGTAAAATAGAATCTGGAACACATTTTATGATTGATAAAATAACAACAGATTGGGTTTGGTCCGTTTGGAAGAATAAGAGCATCTCCAATGACCCTGACTTCAGAGTTTTTGTTTCAGTCCCTGGTCGTTACTTAGGGATGTTTTCGTGGGTAATTAAAGATGGGTTTACCCATACCCATAAAGTCTGGTGGGGTTTGTTTACCCTATAACTAAAAACTGGGTTTAAAATAGGTGGGTATTTTTATCTATAAGTTTACGTGGGCTAATATTAGGTTAACATTGGGTTATCCATGGGTATTTTTTTGTTTGTAAATTATAACAGCAAGTATAAAACACAGTCGTTTTTGATAATTTTATTTCTCTGCAAAAACACGATTCTGAACATCTGTAAATCAAAACCACGATCTGAATCTTTCTCAGCCAAAATCAATCTTAAGAAATTTGCCAATTTCTCATCGAAATTCTGACTTCCTCTTCAATTTCAACAAACCCACTTCATATCTTCCTCGGTGATCCAAAACCCATCTCTCAAAATCTCAAAAGAGAAGCAGAAGAGAAGGAACGTGAGAGAGAGAAACGAAGTTTCGTCCAAACGAAAAGAGAGAAACAAAGCTTCGTCGAAACTCTAATACTTAAATCAGCTTATGACAAACTGGATCCTAGAACTTCTGAAGCAAATGTTGAAGTTGTGACTAATAATTTGAAGCTTCTTTATGAAGAATATAAGACCAAGCCTTGGACTTCTTCAACCATTACAATAGCACCAAGTCCACTTGAACTTCTCACTGAATCACCATTGGAAGATGATATGGATTCTGTAAGTTCATTCTTAGATTCTTGTCATTAATCAAATACTTGTCATTCTTAGATTCTTGTTAATACTCAAATACTTGTCATTCTTATATTCGGACATAATATTGAATCTCTATGGTTTGTCGTTGTTATAGGATCTCCTTGAGCTTGAGAGAAGTGTCCAACTTGGCTCAGACAAGACAAAGACAAGTTTGGATCTGTATTTGGATGAACCTAGGCTATAGATGAGGTCTTTCACTGATATAGAAGTTCTAAACTACTGGAAAACTAACGGACATCGCCATGGTGATCTAGCTTCTCTTGCATGTGACTTGCTCAGTATTCCAATTACCACCGTGGCATCAGAATCAGCTTTTAGTGTTGGAGGTAGAGTTTTAAATCCATACAGGAACCGCCTTCTTCCTAAAAATGTACAGGCATTGATTTGCACATGTAACTGGTTACGTGGTTTTGCTGAATTTGAAGGTAAAGTTTCTAAAGTATCATTGTTGTGAATTTGCTGAATTTGCATTGTTCTGCAGTAACATATATTTATTCAACTAATGTATATTTTCAATTCAAACTTAGGTGATATTGAAGACAATTTTGATGATGAAGATGAAGATCTTACAAAGATTGCAAGTAGCTCAGGTGTGATTTTAATGAAGAAGATCTTACGTTTTGCTTTATATATTTGTATCCCATCGTTTTAATAATATGTAGAACTCTGTTAACAGCTTAGTGGAGCAAGAAGATCTTGACAGGCATGACGAGGAGGATGAACAAGAACAAGTTAACCATTAGAGCGCTTTGATTGCAGATGTAGTAAGCCTCTCTGTATCTACTTCAAGCTCATCGTGTATTCAAATATTTTTCATGAAAGAATTGGTGAATATTAAGTGTTCAAGATTAAGAGTTCGAATGTGCAGATTGTTTTTGTTCAATAAGTAATTTGTTGGTTTCAAATTTAGCGTCAAAATGACGTCGTTTAAGATTTGTGAATATTTTTGGGCTGCCATGCCCACACCTTAGTTTTATATGTGGGCTAAAATACCCAACCAAACATTAGAAAAATATTAGGTTTTTTCTGGGCTGGGTTTTTCTTGGGCTGGGTTTTAATATAATAGGTGTGGGCTGGGTATTTTAACCCACAACAACATTCCTATCGTTACTTCCATTCAGCAAGTGGAAAACCAATCCCCATTGTCTTTATCCCACAGTCTTTGTCTTAAGATTTTTTTCACACCATTGGTCGCTATGTATCCATCCAACAAGTTGAAACCAAACCCAGTCTTGCTCATTATAAGCTTTGTGGTTATCGAATAAAAACCATACCCTTTGTATGTATTTTAGGTATGGTATGCGTTTGTGATCACTTTGTTTGGGATCGTTTAAATGGTGATTGGGTGTTATGCATACATGATTTGCGTTTTCGTGGTTGGTGATATATGGTACATTATATTTCTTGATCGATGAAATAATTTGTTAATGATGTTTTGTCACTGATGTTAATTTGTGTTTATGGATTCACTAGTGTTGATTCGTTTTTCGTTGGAACATCATCTTTTTATCGATTGGCATGCTTGATGGCACATCTAATATGTTTGAAGAATCTGATTGGGGTAGTTGTGTTTCATCTGATGCTTCTGAAGAAAATGGTACTGATAGTGATGAGGAGTTTGAGTGTAGAGACGTCACTGATTCAACTGATGATGATGTGCTAGCTGATATGTCATTGGAAAATGATACTGATGTTGATATGGAGTGTAAATCTGATGATGAAACTGATGGATAAGAGGATGTGATTTCTGATGATTATGGTAGTAGTAATGGTAATAATAAACAAGGTGTTGTGTGTCTAGAGATTCTCAATTACATGTATATTTTCTTGAGTTGTAAGTATCATTAGTATTTGTTATTATCATTGGATGTTTAGATATTCATGTTTTGTATCTAAATTGAATAGGGGTATACGATTACCAATTGTCTTGAAGAGAGAGTATGCCGAAGTATTCTTAGAATTTTGCTATAGTCGCCCTCGCGATATTGTCATCATCTGTATAATCAGATTTGCGTCGCTATTTCAAGAATCAAGATAGAGGTATTTGGAAAGCTAGCACGACTTACAAATGTACATGCAAAATTTTTTGATCTGCCGTTCATTGGTTGCACCTTTACTTGGTCAAATAATCATGAAACGGGTGTTGTGGCTAAGAAGCTAGATAGAATTTTGGTAAATGATCAATGGCAGCTATCTTTTCCAAACTTTGTTGGTGTCTTTGGGAAACCTGGAATCTCCGATCATAGCCCTTGCTGTGTGTTTCTTGACTCTCTTAAACCCAAGCCAAAGCGGCCTTTCAAATTTTATACCCTTTTGAATCAACATCCTGAGTTCTCTGAACTGATAAAGTCTTGCTAGAGTTCTTTGAACTTTGCAGGAACTAGGATGCTTTGTGTTTCAAAGAAATTGAAGGAGCTAAAGAGTATTATTAGGCACTTTAGCCGGGAGAATTATTTAGAGATTGAAAAGAGAGTGAAGGAGTCATACGCTGATTTGCTTCAATGTCAACAAGATCTTCTAACCTCTCCTTCAGATGTTGCTGCTCAAAGACAAAAAGAGGCACATAAGAAATGGTATTCGCTTGCTCAGGCTGAAGAATCTTTTCTGAGGCAAAGGTCTAGAATCGTATGGCTGGAAGAAGGGGACTCAAATACTGCTTTCTTTCATCGCTCAATCATATCAAGGCAAGGCATCAACCAAATTCACTTTTTGCTTGATGATAATGATGTAGTGCTAGATACGCAGGAGTCCATAAAGCACCATGTGGTGGGGTATTATGAAATTCTTTTGGGCGGAGCAGTTACTCCGACAGCCTCCACTACGCAAGAAATCCCATCTCTTGTCCCATATCGCTGCTCTACGGATACGTTGGAAGTGTTATCTGCGGCTTTCTCTCCTCTCGAAATTCAAAAGGTTCTCTTCTCCCTACCAAAGAATAAGGCCACTGGCCCCGATGGGTACCCCTCTGATTTTTTCAAGCATCATTGGAGCTCCGTAGATAAAGACATGATTGATGCGGTCTCGGAGTTCTTTACATCGGGTCAGCTTTTAAAGCAATGGAACTCTTCCATTCTTACTCTAATCCCAAAGAGCCAGAATGCAACAAAAATCTCTGATTTTAGGCCTATTTCCTGCTGCAACACTGTTTACAAGGTGGTTTCGAAGCTTCTTGCCAACAGACTGAAAACGGTTCTCCCGATGATTATATCAAACTCCCAATCTGCTTTTATTCCGGGAAGATTATTAGTAGAATATGTCTTGCTTGCAACAGAGTTGGTCCAGAGTTACAATTGGAAAGCTATCTCAAAAAGATCAATGCTTAAAGTGGACTTGAAAAAGGCTTTCGATTCCGTCAATTGGGGATTCCTGAACAACTTATTGCAAGCATTGAATTTTCCAGCGCATTTCATCACTCTAGTTATGCAATGTGTAACAACGACCAGGTTCTCTGTCTCTATCAATGGGGAACTTTGTGGATTTTTTAAGGGCACTAAAGGGTTGAGGCAAGGAGATCCGCTTTCACCATACCTCTTCGTCCTAGCAATGGAGGTTTTCTCTCAAATGCTAAACCGCAGATTCAGCAATGGGGACATTGGGTACCACCCAACTGCTGCAAACCCACATGTCACTCATCTCGCTTTTGCTGACGACATTATGGTGTTTTATGATGGTGAAAAGAGCTCTCTTGAAGCCATCGCTTCTACTCTTCAGGATTTTTCAGTTTGGTCTGGCCTAACAATGAACCGAAGAAAAACAGATCTCTTCATAGCAGGCTTATCCCATGATGAAACTAATGACATTTTAAGCCTTGGCTTCTCCCTTGGTTCATTGCCCATTCGATACTTGGGCTTGCCTCTGATGCACAGGAAGTTACGGCTTTTCGATTACAGACCTCTTCTGGATAAGATATCGGTGTGTTTCACATCTTGGTCTGCTCGGGCATTGTCTTTCGCGGCCAGAAGACAACTTATTTCTTCTGTCATCAACAGCACATTAAATTTCTGGGTTTCCACGTTCACTCTTCCCAAAGGTTGTTTGAAGAAGATTGAAAGTCTCTGCTCTCGTTTTCTTTGGAATGGTGACGTCACAAAAAGAGCAGCTGCAAAAGTTGCTTGGGAGAAAGTGTGTTTACCAATGGAGGAGGGAGGCTTAGGTCTGAGAAACTTTGTTGTCTGGAATAAAACCCTCTCTCTTCGTCTTGTTTGGCTTTTATACACAAACAATTCCTCGTTATGGGTGCAGTGGATCAAGGTGCACAGATTGAAAAACGAAAGCTTCTGGAGTATTGATGGGAACAAGCATACATCTTGGACTTGGAAATCGCTTTTGAACCTTAGACCTCTTGCGTCCATATTTATAAGACATCGAATAGGAAATGGCGAGACTACAAGTTTTTGGCATGACCATTGGACACCTTTGGGACCACTGATTCAGCTATTCGGACTAACTGGACCAAGGCAAATAGGTATCCCTCTGAATGCTACAGTGGCTTCGGCTTGTACGCTCACAGGTTGGCGGCTGCAACCTGCTCGCTCTGAAGAGGCAGTGCAGCTTCAGATGCATCTGACAACTCTATTGCTCCCTTCGTTATCGACTACTCCAGACTCGTGTTGTTGGTTTGTAAATGGCACCGAATTGAGTAATTACTCGGCCAAGCAGACTTGGGATTATATGCGACCTGCTGCCCCGTTTCAGTCCTGGACGCGAAATATTTGGTTCCAAGGAGCAATTCCGCGTCATGCTTTCACGATGTGGACTGCTCATCTAGACCGACTTCCTATAAGAGATCGTCTGGTCTCTTGGGGCTTACAGGTTGAAAACAAATGCTGTTTGTGTAACACTTACACAGAAACACGTGACCACTTGTTTCTCCGTTGTGTAGTAAGTGAGGAAATCTGGATTGCGGTTGTGAGACGATTGGAATATCAGCCATTCTCTTTCCACACTTGTATGGCGTTTTCTTCTTGGCTGGGCTCTAGAGATAGCACCTGTCCGACTACCCTTAGGAGGCTAGTATCTCAAGCTACAATCTATATGATATGGAGAGAAAGAAACAACAGGCTTCACAACAACATCTCAGCCATGCCTCATACCATCTACAAGACCATTGACAGGTTGACGAGATACGCTATTCTTGGCAAAAAGAAAAGCAAACGATTTAGTGATCTGATGCAAACGTGGCTCGCCTTTGATTAAGATCTTCCCTTTATGGGATTCTTAGTTTAGATATTTCTTTGTTTTTTATCTTTTTTTGGCAAGAAACTATCTGCTGGTTAACCATATTGTAATTACAAACCCGCTCATTTTAGTAATGAAATTCAAATACTTATCAAAAAAAAAAAATGTACATGTGTTATGTTGAATATTCAAGAAGCCGAGTTTCTTCGAGATTTGATGCTTGAATATAAGCATGCAAAGGAGGGTCGTTATTATTAGCGTATATTTGTGTTCTTGCTGTTATGTTGTTTTAATCGTGGCTTTATTTTCTGTGTTTTTGGATTTGTAGATGTTTATTGACAACTATCAGTGTGATTGGTATTCTAAATTTATCCATTTAGTTTATTTATGTAAATGATCTAAAATTGTATAAATTATTTATAAAAGATTTCTGTTTCTAAAATGTACGTACACAATGGATAATATCAATTTTGGTAAATGGGTTGAAAGTATATATTTTCTCTTTCTTAATAAACAACCCAAAAATTTTTGGTTACATTTTGAATTTTAATATATATATTTTCCTAACCAATAAGTACATATATATATTTATATAGAATGTTAAATATACAATATAGATGTCCATATTAGATTAAATAAATAAATTAAATATATATTTGATATTGTTTATTGGTTTATAGTTAATAAAACAAAACCCTAGAATGTTAGTTATCAGGAACATTGGTGTATAAATATCTACATGTTTTTCTGCTCGGTGTTTATAAAGAACTGCAACAGTTTATCAAAAGACGACGATACTGTATTGTTTTGGATTAGTAGTAATAATGGTACCATCTTTTTAATATTTACTATTTTCCTGACAATCTTGATTCTTTATGTTAATCGTTCTCTATTCTTTTTTTTTTCAGGAGATGACCGTGTTACTGTTCCATTTGCCACGAGATAACATTATAATATTGGGAGATGATCCGGAGATAGAAACCAAATTCCCAAAAACTCAGTTCAAGGCTTGGTTGGATTGTAATAGACAATATGCCGAAGCAAGGATTCTTCTCTACACCAAGTTTCCTTTGGCTTGGGTTTGGCATCAAGATATTAAGGCATAGCTGCCTTGCCATCATCGTAGGATAATACATGACGTTGCCTCTCTTTCTGACGTGACTGAGCGCTATGGATAGATCTACTATCTATAGCTTTTCTTAAGTGTTGTTAGAGGAGCAACCTCTTTCGAAGATATCAGAACTGTAGACGGTGTTTAGTATCCAACATTCGCTGATGCATGTGTTGCTTCGGGATTGGTTGATGCACATGTTGATCCAAAATAAACCAACAATGGTTATTATTTTAGTGTGTTTTTGATTTCTTGGATTTCTATTGATTTTTTATTTAATAATGTAGTCATCGTGTTTTTGTTTGGTTCTAATGTCGGAAGTTATCATGCTGTGTTTCGTTTTTAACTGTTTTAATCTTCTAAGATAATAAATCTGGATACTGATTCTAGGTTGAATAATATTCGTTTGACTTCTAAGTACCTTCGTACGCCCAAGCAAAATTATTCTCCTATATCATGAGTTTATTATAAACCAATGTACCTACTGTCAAATGTTTGACAATATAACAACATTGGTTTATTGGTCATATAGTGCAAACAGTATATATTGAGGCACAAGTTCTGTATCATTTGTTTGTTTAAGCATATTATATATTAAGTGATCGGCCCGCACTGTGTATGGACTATAAAATATTTTATATGTTAGATATATGATTAATATTATATATTAAATATGCTTTATTTGTATATGATTAATAATATATTAATAATAACATTATAAACATTTAATAATTAAAAATAATAATAAATCAAATAAAAAATGTTATAGATTTCAATAGAAATTGAAGATAAAAAATATTAACCCAGATTTTTTTAAATACTCTAGTAGATAAAAAGTGTAAATATGATAACTAAATAAACTAAAAATATTAAAATATATAATTATTTATAGACATAATTAATTGTTATATTTAATTATTGATTAATTTCTTATACATATGTAAGCGTTATGTTTTTATACATATATAGTTTTAGCGTTTAACAACAATCACACAAACATTTCATATCATTTTGTGTCTATAGAAAACTTATTATGTAAGCGTTATGTTTTTTTATACATATACAGTTTTAGTGTTTAACAACAATCACACAACGTTTCATATCGTTTTGTGTCTTTTGAAAACTTTTTGTTTTTCTAACGTTTAGAGTAACATATAATTATAAATGTAAAAGTAATATTAAATAATAATTAAATTCTTATAATATGTTTTGAATATTATCTATATTATATCTATTTTCCTTTTGCACAATATAATCTTATATATATATATATATATATATTAAACATACATTTTTTCTTGATCTATTGCTAAGTAAACCAAAATAGGTTTTACCATTACTACCTATCCTCAAAGCAGGTAGATGGTTGGTCCGCACATTCGTGCGTACCAACCACCTCACCGCTCTTAGGACTCAAATTCTTGATCTATAATGAAATTATATATATGAGTAGGACTATGATATGAACTTTTAATTTATTTTAAAAAAAGATAAGAGATAAAATGAAATGGTAATGTAAGGCAGGCTATACAAATTCTAGAAAGCAATAATATAAAAATGTTAAAAAATTATATACAAATAATAATATATCAAACTCCCAACATTATTAATATATAGCGTATATATTATCTTATTGGATAATCTATTATTATATTTTTATTTAAAAATTTAAAATATATATATTGGTTGTAAAAATTTTGTAATCATATTTTATGCAATATATTATGAATATATGTAAAAAAAATTGAAATCATAGTAAATATAATTTTCTGTTTATTTAAATTTATTATTTTTAGTGTTATAACCTAGTGTATTTATGTTATAATTTTATAATTTATTTAATTATAACTCAACCAATCAAAACATTTCGTTTATTTTACCATGTCATATTTCCATGTCACAATTCTATGTCACCATTAATTTACACGAACTTTTGCTAAGGTGATGACACATCAGATTTTTTTCATTAAACATGCTTCTCAAATAATAGTTAAGATTACCATTCTTCAACAATATTTGTATTGTGAATGTATGATAATGCAGTTGTGATTAGAACTGCATATTTCATTGTGTATTTAATTTAACTATATTCTTGAGAAAAAAAATCCAACACATGTTGTTAAATCATTAAGATTGTTTAGTTAGAGCATCTCCAACCCTACTCTATTTTCAACTCCAAAATGGAGTAAACCTAAATTCTACTTCATATTTGGAGTATATCCAAACTCTACTCCATTTTGGAGTAAGACTTTTTTTATTTGCAAATTAATCCTTTAGATTTAAAATAATTATATTTTATACTATTTAGTATTTATAAAAAGTATTATAAAACTGATTATTGTGAATATTTAAACACTGCAATTATTCCTAAAAAGTTACAAAATATAATAAAATACATAAGAAGTGCTAAGATAAAGATAAACAATATAAATAAATTTAAGAGAACAAATAAAAAAAACATTAATGATAAATGTTTTAGTAATAGTAATGTTTAAATAAAAATTGCATATGGTTTTTTTGTGATGTTATGTAATTTACATTATTTGATAAATATTTAAGTTATAGTTTTTGAAAAAAATTGTAAATAATAAAATAAGTAGGATTTATTTGTAAAATTTAAAACTAAAAAGTATTTATAATAAAATTGAATAAGAATCTATTTAGAATATTCCTTTTTGGAGTAGAAAATAGAAAAATACATTGGAGCAAAACACAACTCCATTTTGGACTTACTCTATTTTGGAATAGAAAATGAAGAAATACATTAGAGATGATCTTAGGGTTTCATTGTTTAAAATTGTTAATAAATTTTATATAACGATTTTCTTTCCAAAGGTATGCGTTGAAATTGTAAAAAAAAAAGATTATGCATTGATAATAGATACATGAGATTCTGAGTCTCTGTTATGTTACAATTACATCTATTTGTTGGATATAATTGAATGTATTCAGTTTAGATATACATATATATATAGTATAATATAATTTATTTAACATGTATGTATTATACATTTCATCTATAAACATATATTTAACTTTTATGTTTCTAACTTCGTGATTTGTTAAACCTCAATTTACGTTTATTAATATTTTGTTAGTTAGTATATTGATTTTTTGAATATATGCATATGTTTTAAAAAATGTTAAATATATATCGATATGTTTTACAAATGTTAAAATTTATTTAGTAATATGGAATAGAACTATCTATTTAATGTATTCTGTTATATATATATGAAATATAACATATATCTAAATATCTCCTTGGTTGTATAATCATATAGTTTGGTTCCTAAAATAGCATGTATATAAATTATGTATAATATGTAACGTAAACTACTATTTAACTTTTATGTTTCCAACATCGTGGTTTGTTAAATCTTTGTTCAAATATTGTTGATATCTTAGTAATTAGTTTATTGATTCTGTGTTTATATGGATATATTTTTAAAATGTTAATATATATCAATATGTTTTAAAAATGTAAAAATATATTCCGTAATATAGAATATACTTACCTCTAGTATACCTTCTACTATATATATTGTTATGTATGCATAGAACTATGTACGCTCACACCATCGTCTTAATTATATTTTAAGAGAGAAAGGATTTACACTGTTTTATAATATCGAATTTTAGTAGGAAACCTGCACCTTCTGTTTTTATGAGAAGGCTTAATCCAAGCTCTGATAATTATAAGATAAAGATTCAAATTTTCGTGTTTGGAATGGGTTTAAAGGCAAGGGGGAATGTAGTTTGATATGTTCAAATTATCCCTAGAGCTATTCTCTCAAATTAAGAGATCAATGTAGTACATAAAGGTCGAATCCACAAAGACTTATATTGTTGCACAATAAATTTCAGGTTCAAATCAAAATAAGCAAAATTAAATAAATGTAATGCAAATAATAGAAAGAAAGTAGCAAATCAATTTTGAAGGTTTTAAATCAAAGAAAGAAACGCTAGGCCATTGAAAAATTCGCAGGTGAATCCGAATTGCAAATCTAGACAGAATGTTAGGAGTTTATTAAGCACTGTTCTTGAACTTGTAACACTAATATAAAATCAATCAACTTCTGCTGCATAGATTATCTATGTCTAAATCTTAGAATCTCAAATTTTTTTGCAAATCTTATCAATCCAAGCAAGCATTAAAATCAGGTTCAATTATTCACAAAATCCTAAACCAAATTCCTTTGCAGATAGATATTTTGCTCATCTAAGATTAGTTATGGTGATTAACAATACTTCCGTATCTATTAATCAACCTAATATCAGATTCTAGGTTATAAATCTAGAATAAGCATTAAACACAAATCAAGATGAAGAACTCTAATGATTTTATCCTAACAATTCAATTCAACCTAGCAATTCATCATCACTTTTGAAAAACCCTAAACCTAACAAGCAAACTATCGAGACATGATAAATGAAACACAAATAATAATTTGAATAAAAAGCATAAAAGAAATCAATAGAAGAAATAAGAGAGTTCAAAATCTTCTATAAAAGAGACTGATTTATCTCTCCAAAAACTCTCTAAAAATCTCTCTGTAAAAAAATAAAGCTTAGGTCTAAACAATGACCATAAAAATCCTTTTATAGACCCAAAACACGATTTGGGACAAAACTGCAAATATATAAAACTTCTGGGCGAACTTGTAAGTCTTCAGAAATCTTTTAAAACTCGGGCAAGATTTGTGTACTTTTGGTGTCGATCGACACCAAAACCTTAGTGTCGATCGACAAGGGATTTGTACGCACAGTGCACAGTTTCTGCCTGACAGTGTACAATTTATGCACGACTTGATTTCTTCAGCAACATCTCCTGTTTTGCTTCAGAATGCTCCAATATCTCCAAATAAGCTCCAAACATATTCAAACCTGTAAAGACTAAAAAAGACTCGAAAAATACTAAAAGACTTTATGAAAATGACTTATATCATAGTGAAAAATTGGCAAAAACCCATGATATATCATAGTCTGGAGATGATCTTAGTCAACCAAGATGTATTTATTATATTTTAAATTTTTTTGTTTCCTGTGGGTTGTTAATTTAATATATTCTGATTATCATATTTGGTTTCTTTTTAGGGTGATAGAATTCCTGCAACAATTGAAAAGGAGCACGTCAAACCTTTTGCTAACGAAATCACCGAGGGCCGGGTTGTGTTTATTAACACTTTCAAGGTTGCTGAATTACAAGGTGACTATCGGACCACTAGGTCACACTACAAGATACTTTTTTATTTGACTACGAGTGTTGAGAAGTTTTCTGATTTTCTAGTGAATGTGAAAGAGCTATCTTTCAAAAGATTAACAATAGTTTTATCACACGATTATGATCGTCGATATTTATTTGGTAAGTGAACATGTTTCATGGTTGTTGATTTTTAATATACTAATCAGATGTGATTGGTCAGATTGTGGATGTGAGTAATATCCAAGAAACCAAGAACCAAGGAATATCCAGATCAATGCTTAAAATTAGGCATGGAAATACCGAATTTGTCTAAATATTGTTTTAATTTTTTATTTATATCTATAAATTTTTAAATGTTTATTAGTTATCGATTTATATTTTATATCATTAAGGGATAATCATTTGGAGTGCAAGACGAATAATTTTTAACGCCTAAGAATCAATACCCCAATATCGGTTAAAACCCGATGCAACATATGGACAAATCAATCCATTAAAAGGTTGTTCAATACAATACGGTTATGATTGTTCATTTAAATCAAGCCGGATTTAAAAGATGGGGTTTATTAAACTAAAATCTAATCAGTATTCAGGGTTGTGTCACTCAAACTTCATTAGGTAACAAGACAAAACAAGAAGGTTTTTAAACTAACGATTAAGTGAAATACGCTGCAAAGGTTTAAACTTTTAGATAGAAGAAGAAGGGGTTAAGATGTGATTTTTATGGGACTAGGAAGCCACTCGGATTAATGCTTTCATGCAAAGCTGTTTATCACACCAAGACTTGGTCGTTGGTGATGAATCTAAGGTCAAGAGATCTACAAATGGATAAAGCACAAGAACTAAGATAAATGTGAATGAAAGCAAGTTTAACTACCATGAAATGCATGGAAAAAGAGTGTAAACTGCAGAGATATCAACACCCCTAAACTTGCCTTTTTGCTTGTCTTCAAGCAAAGGTCAACTGGAGGGGTGAGGTTTTGAAAAGAGAGAGTACAAGTGCAAATCCAAAATGTCATTTAAAAGAGACCAAGTCAATGTCTAAGTCCAAATTTCTAGTATGCAAACTGAATCTTTCATACTCAAAAAGCCTTAGGCATACTCATCACAACAAAAATCGAAATTGGCCCTAACTTATATGCACAATCAATCACCTCTTCCCGTGAACATTCATTTAGAAAATTAAAACGTGGACCATGCTTGTACTCATCAATCAAACTCAATTGGCTAAGGGTCAAGGCTGCAAGCTAAAGGTGAACTCGAAGTGAAGGGATGAGTGTTTAAATGGGGATCACTCAATGAAAGAAATCTCCTTATTGCAAAATGCTATGGGTAAAAACTAACCGATGCATACAAGAATAAATTGCCATCTACCCACACACCTAAATAAGTTCTACCTTAATATCTAACCCAAGTGTCTCCAGTTTCTACACTATCCTTTCCAAAGGGCTTTTTTGCCTTCACACCGCTACTTCTTTCTCCACCTCCCTTGAACATCTCAGGGAACTTCTTCTTCATCCTTAGAACAAGGCTTCCTGGCTCGTCTTTGGCGTCTTCTTGTAGCCCTCCTCTTTTGATGTCATGATCTAGGGATGAAGAAGAAGTTCCCCAAGACGTTCAAGGGAGGTGAAGGAAAAAAAGAATCTTCTTTTGATATCTTTGGCCGAAATTACATTGGCCTTCTTTTGTTGTTTTGAAAACGCCTTTCTTCTTTTGGTTTTGAGCACCTTTTTGTACACGCCATTTTGATGTTCTGATTCCCATTTTTAACTCCAACTTGACCCGTTTGCTTCCTTCTTTCCCATCTTCCCAAAATAAAACGATTAAGCACATATCCCTTCCCTAGTATCTCCCAGCCTTTGTCAACCCGAGATGTGGGTCAACGTCTGCATGAGAACCTATCTTTGTCAGACCCAACACGTTTTGCCTAAGAAAATTTGAAGATTATGCAAGAGATCTTACATATCGCTTACAAAAGTGTTTAAAGGTTTAAAAAAGATGGTTTGGTTTTGGGGTGGGGAGAAATACTTGGACTAGCAAGAGAGTGGTAAGAAAAAGGGAAAGATAGCCCAAGTGAAAACTTTGAGTTGAAATCCGAGACAAGCATGATAATTAAAATTCAAAATTTTCAGTTTAAGTTCATTAGTGAAGAAGGTCAAATCAAGTGCTTTAGCTTAGGAAAATTTTTCGAAGTTTGAATTCCAAGTATGGTGCTGCTTTCTATTAGGGTCAAAACAGAGTGCACAAAAACAAATAGGGACTAAGGCATTGACTACATGACTTAAAATGGCTATTTACAAGAATTATCACAACTTACACGCTAAGCAAATGCTTATGGAACCTATATGAATACAATCAGATCCTAAAAATATGCAATTATATACTTTCTTTTTGTGGGATAATTTTTTTCAAAAGTTTTCATTTTTTTTTTATTGATTTTGAATGCACTTAGATGAGATGAATCCTATTTAATATGAATGCATGATATATAGCCTACACATACTCTTCCAAACTTAAATAACTCGCACGGTCTCTGTGTGATATTAATGAGGAAGAGTATATATAGACATGTTATGCTAGAAGGAAAAACATGAGAAAAACAAAAATGAAAAATGTTTATTTACAACGGGTTGGAGGGTTACCTAGTTACCGATGTCATGTGAGGACGTGGTGTCCTTACTAGTGGAGAGTGGAGGGTTGCTAGAGTCAGGAGTTGGTGATTGGTTTCTTTTTCTAGCCCCGCAGTCAGCATGGTAAAAGGATCTACCGGGCTCCATTGGTGTGTGTTCCCTCGGTTGGAAGCTAAAAGAGTGACTCTATCGGAGCTCTTCACTGTTGGCACCCCCTGAATTATCTCCTTCTTCTTGATTCTCTCTTTGAGGTGAAGAAGTTGACCCATTTTTTCCAAAATTAAAAAAAAGTTAAATACGCATTAAATGTCTAAAATGTCTTTATTAAAAATAAAACGGAAACTCGAAGCATCTTAACAATAAAAATTAAATCATAATTTAAACTTACAAATATAAATAACTAAAATATCTGTCCAAAGCTTTAAATAAAGTAAAGCGCCCTTTTTATGGTTTGTAAAAATAGCACCGCTCTGACTTTAACTCAAATCACTCACCTGAAAAAGGAAAATAGGAGTGAGTAACAAGTAACTCAGTGAAACGATCATACCTGTCTAGTAGATCTCTACGAATCATTAATCATAACCACATATATATCCATTCAACCTAGCGATTAGACAAACATCAATTATCATACAATCATAAGTTCATAGAAAACCTATCAAACAAGTCCTAAATCTCAAGACCGTCACATTTTAAAAATATAGTGAGTCATTAGCCAAATCTCACAGGCTCGTAAGCCCCTGTATTGGCTACACTTGCTTTGTGTGCAGTTCAGCCATGATCACACTTCGCACAACGTCTTTCATGATGACCTACAAACAATGCATCCATAGGTCGGAATCAATCATGCATTTTAATGCGCCTATTCTAACACCAATCAGTAATTCAAGCATACATTCTCAATCATCATTCATGTTCGTTTTTAATTAACAAACAAACTATAATATCTAAGTTCATCATACACATATTTAGCTAAGCCTAACACAACTTATAGATCCACAAGTCCCGTCTCACCTTGCCTTTTGGTTGAAACTTAGAAGTTGTGGATGCGGTTACTGCGGTGTACGGTTAAAAATTGCGATAAATAGACTTCACAAAATTAGACACTTTTCTAAAATATAAACCTTCATAAAATGGATACTTTCCAAAAATAGAAGCTTTCCAAAAATAAAAAGTTTCCAAAAATGAAACATTGCCAAATTTGAACATTCTAAAACAAGAAAGTTCTAATCAAAACTAGGGTTTTTGGATTAGGGTTTCTCTGTTCATCTTGGACAACAAGGAGTTTCAGATCTAGGGTTGTCAGATTAATCCAGACAATGAAATTTCTTGGCCGAGAAGCAACTGTAATAACTTTGGCGTTTTACCTCCGTCTGGGATCAACAAACGGCCGGGGCTAGGTGGCTAGATGGGCTTTTCAAAGGTATGCTGACCGGCGGCTGGATCAATCTGGTTCGCCGGGAAATTGATCTACAACTCCTTCTACGAAACTAGAAAAGACAGATTTCTGGAAATCAGTATATAGATCTGCTTAGATTATAATGAAGACAGCTCACAGAATATACCTCCAAATCGGACGATTGAATAAGCTCTTGAAATCTAAGAGGATTATCTTTCCATGGATCGATCGGAGTCGAACGGGATCTAGCTCGAAAGGCGGCGGCTTGGAAAAGCTATTGGTGGCTGCTAAGGCTAGATTTTGGCAGGGCTTCATCAAGGATATGGTCTCTCCCTCCCTCATGTTCCTGGCTCTTCTTTATATAGAACATGAGGCTTGACAAAAGCTAGGGTTAGGTTTAAAAGCGGACTTTCTTTCATGGGTTGTGGGATTAAAAATGAATTAATTGAGTATAGTGAATTTTGGTGGGTTTGGGATGTCACACTGATACCCGAAGGATTATGCAGTTTCCAAGGCACGTTAGAACGGTTCAACCTCACCTTTGCTATATATCCTGGAAAAGTACGGGTCTAGTTGGAGTGAAATAAGGTGTCTGGAGAAACAATTGAAATGACTCACCCCTGCCTTGTCACATATTCCGGAAATGTATGGATATAGCTGGAGTGAAATAGGGTTTCCAGAAAAAAAAACAGTTAGATGGGTTCTACCCTGGCTTGGGCGTGCATCCCGAGAGAGTACCCGCTTGCTCATAATAAGAGGAAGTTAGGTTCCCGAAAGAACAGTTGGGTGTACACATATGAGCATTTCCCCAGAGGAATTTTGCTCCTTGCTTCGTGAGTCACTAGACAAGGAGCCAACTTTCTTCTCTATTAGGATTATGAGGAAGTTAGAACCAGAAGTTGGCGAGGAAGATTCGGAAGTCTGCGGGACCAGAGTCCAAAAGAGAAATAATGCTCCGAAAAACGAGCGCATCTCCGGAAGGAGCATACTAAAAGGTTGCACGGTCCCCAGAGGGAGCTAGCAGCGAGGACCCGATGGTCTGCAGGATTGGAGTCCATAATTCCTAGATGAATGGTGCTTCAGATGACGAGCAAATTCATGAAGGAGCATACTGTTTGAAATTCAGATGCGGGATTTTCATGGAAATTTAGACCACAATCATGATGCCCCATGCATGGTAATGTAATGCAAGAAAGGACAAAGCAATGGAAATGGAGGTGCGATAAGTAAATAAAGGAGGCAGAGCTAAGAGCTTCATGGACTCGAATGATCAAGTAAGCATGC